GTAGCCTTTGCAAAAATTAAACGTTGACGATCACCCCTCAATTCCACCTGAGCCTCAGAATCTGACAATCATCATTTTCGATTCAGGCCACATTAATCGAGTGATCGCAACTGCGTACATAGAGGTCATCGAGGCTAACGACAATCCGCCAATTATTCATGTTCAACCTTCCACAGGCCCTGGTGAAGTGCTCGATCAGACAATGGGAGTCTTGTCACTCGTGTCTCTTCAAGCACCCGTAGTAGATGCTACGGATGAAGGCTTCTGGTTCCATATCGATTCGAAATCGTCCGCGAATGAAATGTTTGGGATCGAAGCGATTACTGAAAACACAGTACGAAAAATCCCTCAAAATCTACTTTTACGGATGGTTTTTATCAAAAAATAATAATAAAAAGAAGAATCGTTTCGAAAAGAAAACACAATCGTACTAATAAAATATTGTTATTTATTATGGTAGAGAAGAAATGAAATTGTTGCTCTTCTTAGGCGAATAACCGAAAATAAGTTAAACGATTGTTGTTGCATTTGGATGAAGATCTTGAAATGAGATTTACCTATGTGATAATTTTATGCCAACTGTGAAAGTAAATGGTTAGAGTAGAGAATGATTATAAGAAATCTTAACTTTCCAACTCTAAGTCACCTTTATTGAGTTTGAAGGGGAATTTCTCTCGTGGAACTATTGGGCAAACTTCCGGGTGCAAAAAAAGATCTATTGATACTTTAATCAAGGCAGAATTACTCCGATCATCTTGATGGAAGGTGTTTAAAAGAGACTTAGATCTAAAAGGATTTCTCATTTGCTGACATGGCATTTGGTAAGTGGCAAAGTGAAGAGGGAGAGAAGTCAATTGATTTAGTTCTCTTGGCGTCCTCACCTCGTAGAATGCAGCTGTCATTATCACTTGTGCTAGCGTAATGCATATATATGAGTTAAATTGACCCCCTGTGTGCTTTACCTTGAACCCTACTCCCATGCCACCTTAGGTGAGAAATTGTAACTGGTTTGTACTAACGTTTGAGTTGTTGCAAATTTTGCGTAATTTCACTTGAGTGCATTTTCTATCGTAAGTCAACCTCAAATTGGCTATATTTCATTCACTTAAAATAATATTTATACCTATGTTAGTATTTCTACATCCTCAACACACGTTTATTTTCTTGTAGGCTCGTCTTCAGTTAATATCGCGTCTGGAGCGAGATACCCTTCTAGAACTCTTGAAGAATCCAGACACATCTCCTGTGCCTTCTCCAATTCTTCCCTCTAACAAGGATGGCAAAGTTCGGTGGCCAATAATCTTGAGTGTCAACGATAAGCTGATGCCATCTCTAACTTCAACAAGTACACTGACTCTTACAGTAATCACCAAAGGACCAGTGATTCCAGCAGATGAACTTTCGGGGTATTATGTTCCCGATAACTCCTCCCCAGGAACTCCAATTTTGCCTCAATTCATTCAAGCAATGTTAGAAATTATAAATGATTGTTAAGCGAATTTGAATTCCCTCACAGATTATTTATTTTATAGAGATCTCGACTACCCAAGTGCATTAACTGACATCGCTTATGATATCAGCTCCTATTCTGCCCAAGCATTAAGGCTTTTCGAAATCATCAATAGTACAGCTGGAAAATTTAGTCTTGCTTTGCGGACAACTATCTCGAGGGAAGTTGAAGGAGCTTCTTGCTTTTTCGTGCCGATAAGTGCTTCCATTCCGAGTTTGACCCGAACCGCCACTTCAACCCTGACAGTGACAGTTACAACTGACAACCCTCCTGCTCCAGGAAATGGAGAGGGAAAATTGGAAGTCTTTATTCCATCGGGTAGGCTATGCCAGCCAATACTTCACAATTAATGGCTTTAGAGGCAAAATTAAAATAGGATTGATTACCATGTACTAATTGCAAATTAAAAGCTTTTATTTATTTTCTATCAAATGGCAGATTTTATGATAGTTTTCATAAGGCCTTTAGTTGACTTCAGGCTTCACAGAGAGGAGAAGGAACATCAAAGTCACAAAAGTCGAGGGGGGCGGAGACAGAAGAGTGATTCACCGATGTAGAGGAGACAGACACAAAGGTAGAGAAAAGGCAAGGTGTGGTGAGTACTATGGAAGTGGTCGAATATGACGTACAGTCGGGCCATGGTAGTTTGAAGTCAACTTTTTGCCGTATGAGTATATGTTTCCCCGGGTGCACCACGTGGAAGTAAGTCTGTAGCGCACCCCTACAAATTGAAAGATAGGTATTAAAAAACTCATTCAATGTTTATTTATGAAGCTGTGTAAAAGTAAATGAAGAGATCACTTGCAAGTGGCACATAGGTTAGAGGTCACGAGTTCAATGCTCATTGATGAATGTCAAGTGCGTGGATTGGCCGAGTGTATTGATTTATTCTAGATAATAAAGTGCGAACGTTTGAAAGAGCTTTCCAAAGAATTAGGATTTGCTATTGAGAGGAAGCTAGCGAAGACTATCTATCAATATTGTAAACGATTTGATCTAGTGCTACTAGTAGTACTACTTAGGAAATATTAAATCTATTTACACTTTCACCATTTCTTCTTTTATAGATACGTGGCGATGGCCTTGTAAGTCGTACTTTATTCCTTACCACACTCCTTTAGGATTTACTACTTATTAATTAATTCATTTCCCTATCCAGACGCGAATGCACTGCCAAATATACCAATTGCTGCAATGCCAGTGACGGAAGTTTACAGTTGTGATCGAGTCAATCGGGTTTTCAAATTTATTCCGCAAAATGAGAATGACCTCTTGTTTAAGTAAGCAATATTAAATAAACAAAGGTTTCTGCTGCGAGCTATTTGAATAATGGGTTAATGATATTATCGTTTCAACAATTCACGCTATCAAGAATGAGAATTGACGTTATCGCTTAGGGCCGTGGATTACAATGGCTTAGTTCTATTAACCATCCAGTTCAGATACTTGGTATCTGTAATGTCAGAAGTCTCACTACCCTCCTTCCCCCCCCCCCTCCTCCCCTCCCCGCTATATTTGCAGACAACAATTGAATAAACGTACAAGAATTGGGAATATATGTTCGTTAACTCAAAAGAACACTGAAAAAATGCCTGCTGTAACTGACTGCATCAACTGATGACTACCCTGCGAGGCACTGAGCATCTTCTCGCTATCTTCTAACCATGTATTGCATTCCGTCATTGACTTTTGGTCACTTGCTGACTTCGACTGTAATAAAACCACAATTCCTTCCTTGATTTATGCTTAGGTCCATGTTCTAACTTTGAGTAACTAATGCTGGTCAAATTAACGACTTTGGGATTTAGGTTTGGCTTTCCAAGGCTTTTAGGTCAAAAAATTGGTAACGTGATCATCTCAGTTAGAGTGGGAAGCTCATATCTTTCGTCGCATCAAATTCCGCCATGTTATTTGAGGCAAGCTTTGATCTATGCCCTTGCGTTGGCAAAAAATAGCTCAAGGACAATGAAATTGGCCTTTTTTCATCAAAATATTTTTGTCAAAACTAACTGTGCGATTTTTTTCTAGAGTGACCGATGATGGCGTACTCTACCTCATGACTGCTTCGCCACCTGGAGATTTCTCCGTGGAAGCTGCGATTTCCACACGATTCGATCAAACTCTCCCCAACGCTACCAGTTCACTTAAAGTCCGTATAAATTGGATTCCTGCCAGCGGTTTCACAAATGGAATTATGATTAGAATTCAAAAGGCCACGTGGGAATGGTTTGTAGAACGGTCTAATTCCTCTGATGTAAGGTTTCATTATGGATACGCAATCAGAACTTTAATTTAGTATATGCGGTGACAAATTTTCCTCTTTTAAGCTCACTCCGAGGGAGCGTTTGACTTCAGCTATTGCTAAACGGCTTGGAATTAGCAGGGACGCAATTGCGATATTTCCAGTTGAACAAATTGGGGAGGACTTTAATGTTTTTGTTGGAGTTCATTCATCTCCCTACGAAGTTCCGGGCAGGTAAGAAACGCTTACAAGTTTTTATTTTCTATATATATATATACACATATATATTTGTTTCAAATGGCAGGCGTTTTGATAGTCATCATAAGCCCTTTAGCTGACTCCGGGCTTCGCAGAGAGGAGGAGGAAC